TATCCTTGGGGCAGGCACAAAGCACGGTGTGCATGCAGAATCATGAAAAAAACTATCAAAGAAGAAAATAAACTACAAGATGCAAAGCCCTTAAAAGGATTTTGATGATTCGCACGTTATTACGTCTAACAACGCACAAAACCGTTAAAAAAATCAAAACGGATCAAAATCCGGATACCGGTCTTTTAAATGACCAGTATCCGAGCGCAACTCAGTAGGTGGCGCTGGCAAGGCACGCGCAAGTATCTGAGTTGCAATGGTATGTCACACGCAACTTAGAGAGTTGCGCGCGACATTTAAATTAGTAAAAAGAAGATCGAAGAGCGTGATTTCAGTTCGCTCTCTCTCCTTCCTCTTTTCGTCATTTTTTACTCTTTCTCTCTCTACAAAGCTTGATTTTTTTTGCTTTTTGAAGCCAAATAAAGGAGTTCTAACATCCCACTTGTATTTTCCAAAATCCAATGTAAGTTTTCTTGTCAGTTTTGTTTGTTTTTGGCCGAATTTTGGGAATTTCAAACCGAAGAACCCTAAATTTTGAATTTGGGGGTTTTCGATTCGGTCCATAATTCTTGAAATTGTTTGTTTCATGTTGTTATGCTATGTTTAAGGAGTGTTTTGCAATAACTTTCATGAAAAATGGCTAAGTATTGAACCTTGTATGAGCATGTCTTTGTTCAAGTTCGTTTCACACTTTTCCTTTGATTTTTAGTTCGAATTTCTTGTTTTTTTTTGCTTGCTCATTCGGTCATACTTGTTTATTATGAAGTGAATCATAGCGTTATGCCAACAATTGTGTTCATGAATCATGTTTTGAAAATTTTGATTTCGAGAAATGGCGCGAAATTCATGTTTTTTCTATTTTGGCCATTTTCAAGCTTTAAAATTATTGTTTGGTAGATGATAACTATATTTGGGTTATTATTATTCATCCATGAACTATTAACTTCCAAGATTTTTAGAAATAATCTATAGAATGGTTAGTTAAACTAGTATAGGTAGCTTTGTGGGTGTTTAACCCCCCATTTACTAAGTTCAATTGCAGGTGTCGTAGCCCCCAAGTATTGGGTGGCATTTCACTTATTGTTTTGCCCTTTTTGCAGCCATTATGCTGCCGATATGGGCCTAGGATTCGTCCTTACGTTTCTTTTAGGAATTATAAAGCATACTTAATCGTGTAATTTTTCAAAATTTCATCGATTATAGCATGTATTCTTCCCCGTTTGTCAATGCCGAGGAGGTTTTAGGAGGACCAATTTCGGACGAGGTGGTTCACCCTCGAAAGAGAGCGACACGTCCTCCCGAGGAAGGTCAGGAGCTATGCGTCGGTGCTGAGCGACGTCGTCACGAGGAGGTGGTTTGGGAGGCTCCTCCCAACTAGGATCCGCAAGTCCTTATATGGGACCCGGACCACCATGTTTCGGTTTAAGGTTAGCATGGCATATCTCCGTGTTTTTATTCTTCTATTTTCTCTGTTTCTTTTCAAAACCCGTCATAACCGAATTTCCCTTTTTTAGAGTGAGCCTAGCATGCGCCTGTATGGCTCGGATGACCTGAGAGGTCGGTTTGAGAGCTTACCCGATGTAACGAAAGAGGTGAAGGAGCTTTCGGGGGTCGGTCCCCATTTGGCAGCTCTTCAGGATTTATCGAGTCAGCCTGCATCATTGGCTTTCCTTCGCGGGTTGTTGAAGTTTTGGTGAGATTCCACCAACACTTTTCACTTCCCGCGGGGAGAGATGATGGTTACCCCTTACGACTTCTCCATGATCACGGGTTTTCCTTTAGGAGGTGAGCCCGTGGTCTTGGAAAACGTAAAGGGGTCAGACGAGAGACTGTGTGACCTCGTGGGGGATCGTGACCTCGATTACTCCTGAGCAGCTGGCTCGGATATACATTTCTCATGTTCTTTCCATCACTATTCTAAGTAATCGAGGAGAACGTTTCACCATTGGATTACTTATTTGCCTCAGTGATCTAGGGAAAATGGGTAACCTAAGCTAGGCGGAGGTGTCGTATGCCCGTATACTTACTGTTATGGGCAAGGCGACACGGGTGATGGATTCTGCGGCAGCTATTGAGGTGCCCCGGATCTCCATTTCATGGCATGGTCGTATTCTCAGGGTGCGTGTCTATTTCTTTTTTATATATTTTTACTTTTCTTCCCACTGTTCTTTTAAGTTGATCACGTTTTATTTATCTTTTTTAGGCTTGGGGGTACTCGTCCTGCCTTTTTTTTTATCCCCCATGACACTTGGGCCGACTCGTTTCCCTATTGGCCATTGTTTAGCCATAATAAGGAAGAAATGAGTTACTACAGCCAGCGACTTTCGCCAGAGGATTCTTTCGGCGACTCGTGCATTGGTGAGTATAGTTTTAACAACATATGTCCATATTTCTTTGTTTAGTCGTCACCATTTTTGATATGAAGTTGTGTTTTGTAGGTCGACCTTCGCCCTTGGGGTTAGGTCGTAGGGGTCCTTAAGGCCGTCCGAGCAGGCGCTGTTTGCTGCCGTTTTCGAGCGCTCTATTAGGGACTCTATTCATTTCACCAGACGGATGCGTGGTTTAGGCGTCATCTGGCGGTTCTCGTCTGAGGATCCTTTGGTTCCTACGGATCCACCGATCCGAATGTTGCGTTTGGATCTGCTGTCTACCGAGGATCGAGCTCAGGCCATCCTCAGTTATCCTGCTGAGCAGCTGGTGCTGCCTAGAGCATCTTACCAAGCGTTTGTTTTATCCACGCTAACCCCATTTCAAGCATTCGTTCTGGTTAGTCTTTCTTTCTCTAGATTTTGTTATATTTTTTTCGACGTTCGGATATTAACCCCTTGTTTGTTTTTGCTTTATTATTTTTTTTATAAAAGGTAAAGCTAGGTGGTTGGGTGCCTCCCGCGGCAAAGATCTCGTATACCGACGCTTTTGGATCAGTAATTCATGAGACTCTTCCGGCAGCAGAGGATGAGGACATACCGTTCGTCCCATAGACAGTTGAGTCGGTATGTTTTTCGCAAATGTACATAAATTCTTTATTTATGATACACGTTTTTATAACTTTCCTATTTTTTGGAACAGGTTCCACGGGAGACCGTGAACGACATGGTAAGGACCCTTCGAGCTTTCCGAGCTTCTTATCGAAGAGCCCTCGTGGCTTTGTCATGCTGTGATCATCGGATGGTTGCGGTAATTTTTTTATTTTCTTTCTTTTTTATTTCATCAAAGTTATTACATGAATGTGTATTAATCTTTGATTTGGATTTTGCAGAATGTGCAGTAGCCTTCCGGGAGCCACCGAGTACTTTGATTCCATTGTGTATATATTTTTTGATTTATAGAAAATGTATATTATTATTGTTATTTTTTTTATACATGCGATTTTTGTACATATGACGTATTTTGTATACATCACCATTTGTCTTTTGTCGTATTTTATGTTCCATAAATAAGTGCGCAAAAAAAATTGCAAAAACAATTTCCAAGGGAGGGAAAAGGTTCCCAACTTACCCCCCTTGAAAAAAGAATGAAAAAAAAGGAAAGGAAAAGGTAAAAGTAGAATAACAATAAAAGGAAAAGGAAAAGAAAGAAAAGGAGGAAAAAATAATAAAAAAAAATAATAAAGAAAAATGGAGAAAAATAAAGATAATAAATAAAAATTAAAAAAAATTAAAAAAAAAAGATAAAGAAAGAAAAGAGGAATAAGAAAAAGGGGAAAAAAGAAGTAAATAAAAAAAGGCAAGCGTGTGAGTTAATCATAAAAATCGTAATAATATTTCCATTATTCATTAAATGAAACTCGAAAATAACCAAAAATAAGTTACGATAGACTAGGCGCGCGCAACTCCATGGGTTGCGTGCAGGTGTCCCGCGCATGTGATTTGGTTGCGCACGGCTAGCGCGCGTAACTGCTTAAGTTGCAGTTGCACGCGCCACCTAAGGGTGAACTTTCCTTCGAGCGAATTTTGCCAAAAATCAGACCGTTTTGGTCTATTTAAACACGATTACGTTAGGCTTTTGATAATCTCACATCAATTCGATACCAACAATTAGTATTACTCAAAAGAATTCTTTATCACTCTCTCTTCTTTTAAATTATTACAATGGTGAAAACTTTTGAGCAACGATTGAAACAATGGGTCACCTCCCTTTCTAGTGAGGATAGCTAGCTTTTAAAATATACCATCTAGATGCCCTATTAAGTTTTATGCAACTCAATATTAATTTTCGATTTTCTTCATGCCGCTATTAACTATTGGGACTCTAACCACCATTTTTTCTCTTCAAAGGGGATAAAATAATCCCATTACTTGGCGAGTTCGAGGCTCTACTAGGCTTCCTTGCAAATACTCTCCCTGTGACTTATGCCCCTAAGTTGTCAGATTCCAAACCTGTTTTTCAGCGTTTTTTTGGCTTGAATGACAATGATATGGCCAAAATTGATTCGGAGCATGGTGTGAATTTAATTTAATTTAATTCATCAAACATTTTGTAACTCGAAACAATTTGACTAAACAACGCTTTAAAATTCATGCTTTATGTTTTTGTCTTATTGTCAATTGTTTACTTATGATAGGCAAAGAATATGGAGATTATTCAATGGTGTCCATGGTAGAGCAAATGTAGGGGCTTCATTCACCCGCTCCATTGGCCTTAGCGAAAATTGTGCTTTGCTTGAATCGGCTTAGAAGAGATCCAAACGAGAACGCACTACAACAAAACAAAGCAAAGGTAACAATGGAAAACCATTGCCTAATATTAAAAAAGTGTTGCCTTGTAGCTAAGGCAACACATACGAGGCATAGTTTATGCCCCCGTTGTCTATTCATAAGGCAACATTTTTTAGTTCAAAGGCAACATTTTTAAAAGGCAAGGTATGATGATACCTAAGGCAACAATTTTACAAAGAAAACAAATTAAAAGTGTTGCCACCTTAGGAGACAATTTAAAATTGTAACCTTATGTCATAATATACAACCACCTTTTCACTTGTTGTAATTGTTAGTAATAATAAAAAAAGTGATGCTAAATATCTTAAAAGCAACACCTTAAAAGCGATTATATGTAAATTATAAATTGAATGAATAAAGATGAATCAACATGTGAACTCAACAATAGACAATAATCAATCTAATAGGAAACATGACATCAATATAGAAGAAAATTGATTTTATACAAAAAAAAATTCATGTGTACTCATCAAAATCCAAACAACAAAATCCAATAGAATTTCACTATTGGTTAACCGGTGCCCTTAATGCCCTAAAAAAATAAGAAAATAAAATTTTATGAAACCTAGTTCGCCGCGTCCGCGGGTCAAACTGTCGCGCCTGTCCAGGAACTCGATGGAGAATTAAAACCCTGTCCGCGCCATCTCCTCTCGTTGCCGCACCCGCGGGTCCTTGGAGAGGGCTCTCCCTAAGCGTGGGCTGCACTTTAAGCCTTTGAGACCTAAATTTCGAGGATGACACCAAGATGCCACACTATGGCAAGATATCTTTGGAACTGGTTTTATCCCCGCATCTCCTGCAGAAAAGGAAGAAAAAAGCTAAGACATCATGTGATAGAGTAAATCTAGGGCACCGTCCATTAAAGAAAATGCTAACTCTCATCTATATTTTCCTTGCATTCTAAAAACAAGAGCTCCAATGTAAGTGTCAGGATTTACAAACAACTACAACAACTTTGATTTTGAAGCAACTATTCTGTTCAGAATACCCTAATTGACTTAACCAGCAATCTCAGAAAAGAAAACAGTAAGCTACGGAGAACACAAGACTCCAGCATTCCCAACCTACTTTGAATGAGACTGTATCCCATATAGCCATTATTTTATCTGCGCCAATTGTAATAAGTTGTGGAGCACTGAGCACCACTAGACACTCTTGATAATTCTACAACAACTCCACCATCGTGTGCCTTAACACAAAACAATAACAAGTTCAGTAATTACACATGTATATACGAGATGAAACTTTTTAATTGTAGATGACAAATAGAAGATAAAAAATATCTGGTAATTAAATTGCCATTTACAAACAGGTTAGCTGAAAGAGAACAGAACAACTACCTTTAGGCTAAGGTTGGGTACAAGATCTCGTGAATCATGACCAAGCTCAGCACTCCAAAGTATTAGTAAACCATCACTTCCACCAGAGACCAGCAATGCCTACAATCATGTAAAATAGTGGTGGAATCACGCAACAATATTGGCAAGGTAGATCCCAACAGCACAAAGTCAGCCTAGTAAGACAGTTTATCCATAGCAAATCAAAGGACTCCATTTTCATCATGGGAATGATCACTAAACTTTGGGTAAATTTGTTTAAAAAAAAACAGACAAACAAACATGGTATTGATTTTACACAGTGTGATCAGATAGCATTATAGGCATTTTACCTCAAGAAGCATCCGGTATCAAGCAGTAGCAAATGGGGACAACTTTGCATGCTTACCAAAACCTTTAACACCATGTGCTACAAGTTTAATTTCCTGGACAAATGACAAAATTGACATTTGATAAAATTAAACACCAAGACTTCACAAAGGAGTTTGTGAACAAGCATCAACAATTAATAAAGGAAAAACAGAAGCCCACAAGAGGACAAGAATCACTCAATTGACAAACTGCCATATTTAATTTAACTACCTAAGTTTAGTAACAAGCTGCTACACTCAATGGATTAAGTTACCAACAAATACAGAAAGCAAGAGGTATGAAAGCTACCTGGCCCACTCCTAGATAAAGTGATATCAGGATACTTAGGATGAATTGGATTTTCTGATAATTCAGGTAGCCCATCCTGGCTTGACTTGAAATTAGTATAAGTTTTAGGTGCCTTAGTTGAACTTGAACTCGGGTTGCCTCCCAAAAAGCGCTTCTTTATGAGGTCCCTATCTTGACCATGAGAAATTATCATCAAAGGGGTGGCTTATAATTAAATCCTATTAACAAAATTCAAGACTCGTGAATCCAGAGTATACAGTATCACCAATACTCTACTTACATAGTTACATCAAAGTTATACGGTCTTGATCCAAAGTCTAAGAACTCGGGAAATGCCAATAAACTACACTACCTATGTATGATCCCTCTCTTACAGTCCCAAGTAAAAGCACCGATTCAACTCACAATAAGTGTTTAATATCCGGGTATTATACCATCATAACTCAATTGTACCTATGAAACTGCGAATAGCACATCAAGAGAATTAATAGAATATGTACAAGGAACAACTACTAGGTCTCAGATTCAACAAATCAGTTGTCTCTAATAAACTTAAGAAACTTGTGATACTATATACTCACCACCGAAACAACCCAACAACAACGAAACCACCACCACATCCACGAAACCACCACCGCACCCACGATACCACCACCACACCCAAGAACCCACCACCACTAGCACCGACCACCATCACCATAATCACAAAAAAAAAATCAGAAATCCTATCATCTCACATTCTCACAATTAAATTCAATCAAAATTTCAATTAAAAATAATGCATAATGCCTCACTCTTACGGGAATGTCCCTTAATACTTGAAGTTGATATTCACCAATCACCACTATTTCCCTTTGCAATATTATCCATTGCCACATTCCTCTCACATGATAGCTACAAGCTAATTTGAACAGCCAATTAAATCAATTTCAAAGCACCATTTTCATTAAAGAAAACCAATAATACAAAGTATCTGTACTAGTAACATTACCACCTAATACGTTTCGGATTTGATATCAGACTCTAAAAATTAAGCTAGTTGTCGATAGTTAGTGGAACAAGTATTACGAAGATAACATATTTCCATCTAAACCATACTAAGGTAACCATACTAGTAACACTACAACCATCTAACCTCATCGGCATAATCTCTTAATGCAGCCACAAATCTGTAGTATATTTAATTTCTCTAAAGCATTAGTAACTCTAACTATGTTTTTGTATTGTTCATCTTCCAAAACAATTTAATAATTACAAAGGATACATTGAATTATACCTTATTTAACTTATCAATGTATCAGCTCGCTGCGGCACCCATCCTTAGATAGCCTCCCCTACAACGGCGGCAAGCCAAGTAGGCCACCCAGCAGCAACCTGCTCTCCTTCTACAGACAATGATTTCGGAATCAGCCCACCCAACCAGACTTAGAAATTGTCTCCTCTTTCTTTTTCTGACGGTCTTTTGCAACTTTTTCTCTGATTTGTTGAAGCGCTGAGAAATTCCCTTTGATTTCATTGAAAATCAAGCCCAAATTTTACAAATTAGGAAATATTTTCTGAAATTAACCACATAATTTGTCAAGCCCTAGAATACCAATTAAGCTAGAGGAGAGAAAAAAACGAGAATTGCAGAAGTAAAAGCTCCAAAAAAAACCCTAGAATACCAAGCTAGAGGAGATAGAACAAGAAATGCAAGAGTATTTGTCGCCAGCTGTGGTGGTGTATATCTTGCGGCAGTGCGTCTACACCTCCATCTTTGAGGAGAGAGAGAGTGAGGAAGAAGAACAAATCAGGTAACTGAATAGCTATTGTGAAGATCGTAGTAGCAGAAATTCTTCCGCCCTTTTTCTTTCTTTTTAATTTTTCCACCCTATTATTTTTTTTTCATTTTCCCTCCCTTTTAGAGCTTGTATCCAGATTGTTATATGGATCAGGTCATCGGGACTTGTCAATTCAAAATATCGGATTAGATTTAGGTTGAATTTTGGGTCATTTGATTCAAATGGTTTTGATTATTTGGGTTAGTAAAAAATATAATAAGGAGGTCAAATTGGGTCAATTTTGGATCGTTTAGGTTGGGCCGAGTCGGGTCCAGATTCGTTCTAAAAAATTCGAGTTTGAAATCGAGTCGGGTAGGGAATCGGGTAATTATTTAGTTATAATTTTAACAATCCATTTTCATTTTTTTTCAGCTATGATTTTTTAATTTATTTTTGTAATTGTCATTACTTTAATATTTAATAAGATAAAATCCTAAAAATCATAACATAAATTTTTTATTTAATTTAACATCATGAATTATTTAATAATTAGATAACCCGAAAGTAATTAACTTAATTAACACATTAGGTGATTGTTGTCTTTAATGCTCTATAGCAACACTTTTATAGTTGTTGCATAGGAATCTAGTATTGTTATTTTGGTTCAAAGTAACATTTTAAAATCGTTGCCTTAGTTTATCAAGGGTAACAATTTTATTAGTGTTGCAATTTTAGGTGTTGTCTATTCTCATTATTTTTGTAGTGACGGTTTCACCGGAAGTCCACTCCTTTTACACGTACGTTTTTTTTAACCCGTACTCATCAGCACTGGACATTCCAGCGCAATCTTCACAGGACATTCCAGCGCAATCTTCACAGTGGCGCGCGAATGGCGCGCGCGACTATTTCTTTTGCGCGTGCCACCTGCTGTTGTAATGTTCGCAATCTAACTTTCGTTTTTTTTAGATTTGGCTCATGGAGTGCTTGCGAATTTTTGATCATCCACAAAACCTTGAGGCTAATGGAGTGAAATCGTTCCCTAGTCATCGTATTCTTTACAAGCACAAGAATGAAGAAGAATGGACGGTCATTTTAACATACGCTTTGTGATTCCTTGGTGGAACATAAGTAGTATGGCTGGGAATAGTTCTAATTGTCCCTACATTTGCCTTTTAGGCCTTTATAGTACCATTTACATATTTCCTTGCAGAGTTATGAGACAATATGGGATGAAACAACTTATCCCTCTACAAGATTGTGATGCTCCCAAGGATGTGAAATTTAGGGCCGAAAGAATTCCCCATTGGATTGAGTATTGAACTAGCCTTCCTAAGTGGGTAGTGCAAATCCCACGGCAAGCATAGTTTTATCTTCCTTTTACAAGGCTTAAATGAATGCGGCTGACAAGGGAGAATTGAATAAAAAGGCTCCTTCAACTCCAAATAGAAGGGGAAAAAGGTAGAAAAAGCTCCTATTCCCAAATTGAAGAATAATATGTGGGTCAAGAAGAAGAAAGAAGGCGAAAGTTCTAAAGTTGCAAAGAATACTACAATGGATACTACTCCTTTGACTATTACGATTGAGGATATGGTTAAACCTTAGGGTGATGCACAATATTATTAGTAGTACTTTTTTTTGGAATAAAGTGTTATCAGTACTAGAAGGTTTTTTTTTTATTATTATTATTATTACCATCTAAGTTTCATAATGTACTTTTGAACGAATTTATGTTTTGGAATAAAAGTGCTCTTTAATTTGTTGTTTTATTTGACCGAATCAAAGATTGCCTACGTATTCGTATCACAAAATCAGGTCTCGCGTAGTTCTTTGTTTGTTATTTTTTTTTTCTTAATCCTACTTGTAGGAATTAAATGAAAAATAAAGCACACTTTGTTCAATAATTAAAATCAAAGTTTAATTTTTGTTTTCCGAATATCTATAACAATTGAATACTCCTTTGTTTTATCACTAGTAAAAATCGTAATTAATTTTCTTCAAGCGTAAAACTTAAAGTTCACAATTCATCATCAGGTGGCGCGCGCAACATTGGGAGTTGCGCGTGCATACGGCACGCAACTAATTTAGTTGCGCGCGGTAGCCTGGCGCAACCCAGTGAGTTGCACGCGGCACCTTGCTGCGAGAGTTTCGTTCCTTCTTTGTTTTTGTGTTTTTTTTACCAAGGTTTAGAATGATTTTTTTTTATACTTTATTTACTCCCCCAGGTGTGAGGAATTTTTTCGTGGAGTTCGTAAAAAGTCCGAACACTTGAATGGCTCATTTTGATTAACCTTTCTTCTTTTTTAGTCTACCCCCCAAGTGTTGCAAATTTTATCATGTGGTTCGGTAAAACTTGAAACACTTAAGTGAGAATATTTTATTATTATTTTTTTTATCTACCCCCCCCCCCCTAAGTGTTATGAATTTTACCGTGGAATTCGGTAAAATTTATAGCACTTAGAATCTTTGGTTTGAATGCTATGAAATTGATTTAGAATATTTGAATGAACGAGTTTATCTGGAATTCATATGTAGTATTTTTTAAGATGATCCATGTTTATTAGTTGACGGATTTCATCGCCACCAATATCCATTAATCTAACTGCCCCTCCTGATAGAATTTCAATTACGCGGTATGGTCCTATCCAATTGGGTTTGAATTTCCCTCGTGGATCAGTTGGAGGACCTCTAACCTCTTTTAGTACAAAGTCACCTACTTTAATATTACGGGGTCTTACCCGTTTGCGAAAATGTCGCACAATGTGTTGTTGGTAGACTTGTACATGATGCAAAGCTTTTAATCGTCGTTCGTCGAGGAATAAAAGCTCTTCATACCTAGCTCGAACCCATTCAGCTTCCGGTAGCTTACTTTCGAGTACGACGCGTAGGGATGGTATTTCCAGTTCAATTGGTTCAACAACGTCCATGCCGAAAACTAAGGAATATAGAGTTACTTCTATTGAAGTTCGTATGGACGTTCTATAACCCCAAAGAGCAAAGTGTAGTTTATTCAACCAGTCTTTATAATGTTCTGCCAATTTTTTAATGATGATAGTTATGTTTTTATTCGCCGATTCTACTGCTCCATTCATTTGAGGTCGATATGGGGAAGAATGGTGATGTTTTACTTTGTAACGAGCCAAGAGGGATTCAACTTCTGCTTTAAATTGAGATCCCTGGTCACTAATTAGTTTGTGTGGACTCCATATCTACAAAATATGTTTGCTCGAGAAACTTTGCGAACATTTTAAGAAGTGATATTAATGTAAGAGGCGGCCTCGATCCACTTAGTAAAGTAGTAAATGGCTACTAATACGTACTCGTTTCCTCCCGTTCCTATTGGAGAAATTTTACCAATAATGTCAATTCCCTAAGTTGAGAAGGACCAAGGGGAAGTGAGATTGTATAGTTCGGATGTTGGAAGGTGTTGTAAGTTACCAAACATTTGGCACTCTGGACATTTTTTGACATATTGGATGAAATCATGTTCCATTGTGGACCAAAAGTACCCTAAATGTGAGATTATTTTAGCGAGCATTTTTCCATTCATGTGAGGCCCACAAACACCTTTGTGAGTATCTTCCATAAGGCGTGTAGTCTCGTGTTGGTCTATACATAATATAATAATCTTTGACCATTTGGCCCTTTTTTACACAATCGACCATTAACCATCCCATAATGGGCTGTGAGCGTTCTCAAGGCGCCCTTGTCTTTAGATGAAGTATTTGTAGGATAAGTGCCATGAGTAATATATTGGAGGATATGATCATACCAGGGGCTTTCCCCTTCAATTTCATTTGATTCACTCTATTGGGTTGCAATAAGCTAGTTCATCTCTTCTTTTAACACATAATGGCATCATATTTAATTGATCAGGAATGTTCATCATTTAGGCTAATTTTGCTAGCGCGTCGACAAATTGATTTTCGTCCCTTGGGAGATATTTAAAATCAATATAATTAAATTGCTCGATGAGTTGCTCTAGGTATGCTTGGTATAATATCATTGTGGAGTTTTTTATTTTCCATTTTTGAGTATATGATTTACTATTAAACTGGAATCTCCATATACCTCTAATTTTTGCACACCTATGCTAGCTGCTACTTCTAATCCAACAATGCACGCTTCACATTTTACGACATTATTAGTAGCCTTAAAGTCTAGTTTGGTAAAGATTGGTAGACATTATTAGTAGCCTCTAGACTTATGAGTAACACTCCTACGCCACACCCTTTTTGATTGGATATGCCATCAAAGTACATTACCCATTTGTCATCTTGTGTCATGAGAATTTCATCATCCGGAAGATGAGTGGTTTCTTTACGACTTGTTTAATTGGGATGTTGGGCTAGAAAATTAGATATTACTTTTCCTTTTATTGATTTTTTAGGAATATATTTGAGGTCGAATTCGGCCAACATCACTAACCACTTGGATATTCTTCCTTGTATGGGTGGTTGTTCAAACAAAAATTTTCACTACTACATTTTTTACCAAATGCAACGGCATAATAAAGGCTAATACAACGATATTTTCATTGCCGTTGCAATAGAAAAGGCTATTGCCACGGATTTAACACTAATGTTCTTAGAGGTAGAGCTATTGCCACGGCTCTAAAGAACCGTTGCGTTAGCCTAACTATTTCAACAAAAAAGGGAGCTATTGCCACGGCAGTGTATTGTATGATGAAAAATTTGGAAACGCGCGGAGTACTTCCCTCTATTTTTTTGCCCAAATTTTTTGAACATATTCCCCAATTTTCTCTCTGTACTTCCCCAATTCTCATATTTTTCCCAATTCTTCATAATTACTTCCAAATTCTAAGAGGAAAATTACTCAAAAATTCTGAGGGCCTTGTTTCTGAGGGTGAAACACCACGCACGGTGGTGTTAGGGTTAGGGTTCCACCACGGAACCACTCCAAAACCACCTCTGTTGACGAATTGGGCGCAAATGAGGAGGTTCATTGTTATAATTTAGGCAAATGATAAGAACCACAGCCCCATAGAATAACAGTGAGTAGTGAGCAGTGAGTAATTCAAAAACCAAAAGAAAGAATGGATGCTTTAGGAGGTTCATGGTGGAGCACCCACCCTTTTAACCCATTCCGTCACAAAGGAAGAAAGCCAACAAGACATAGAAACAACGCCTCCTCTTCGGAGTCTTCTTCTCAGCCCAACGCCGCCCACAATTTCCCTCTTAAACAAGCACTTACTGCTGGATCTCTCGCCTTCGCCGGCGACACCATTGCTCAGCTCCGACACCGCTGGACTTCTGTCACCCAACAATCTGATACCACTGATCACTAAGATAAGGTCTTTTTCCCTCTCTATCTCCTTTTTCACTGTTAATGTTTTCGCTCGCCATAGCCCAACTTCCTCGAGTACTCGGAGCTACTGTCTACGGTTGATGGAGTTGTTGCTGCTGTCGGAGATTTAAACCAAAGAAAAGAGGAGAGAGAAATTTGCAAATTCGGTAACAATGG